ATAATCAAACTGTAGATCAACATGTACCATTATCACATAATTCAATAAATGAGACTAGATATTTGCCAAAGCAACCTTCAAATTCATGAGGTTATGTTCGTATGTTCACACTTTATGAAGTGTTTGAAATGCCTGCTGATTGTTTTACTCACCGAATGCGCTGTAACCACCAGATTCCGGAATTGCAATCTTGATTGCTTACACCTGCTCATCATTTTTCGTTGTTGTGTATTTATAGTCACATTCACTCTCTGCACATTTTTGGTCAAGTCTTGCATGTAATTGCTGCTGCAGTTTTCTGTAATCATAGTCCTGTCTGTCATGGTTCATCTGACTCCTGTCTGGTTATCTTGTACCTGTGCTTTTAGACTGTGTGATTTGCATTTGTTTACTCTTCATCATGCCTGACTGCATATTTTGACCCTTTGGAAATTCTCTTGCGATTCTGTACTTAGATTTGTTAGCTGTCAGTGTTGCTCATTAAAATCTCTGCACATGAATCTAAACCCAGCACCTCTGATTGAACAGAAAATACACAGACCTGTTGAGATCCACCACACAATATCTTTGTGATTTCAGAATGTTTAAAGATTGCAATGGGATTCAATATTTTTCATGAAGCACAAAGAATTAAACTGTCTTGTAAATTGCTTATATTGTTGCAGGATTTGACAGTGGCAATATATTAATCGCATTGCTTTGGTTTAGATATAACAATGTTATATTTCACATTCCATATTCTGGGGCTGCTATGTCAACAGATTACAGAATGAAAAGAATTAATTTAATGAATAATTAGTGTGTGATGTAACTTATTCCATTTGCCATTTGTCCATGAATGATACATCAGATTGATAAACTACAAAAACAACAACAACAACAACAACAACAGGATTTCTAGGAATCATAGACACTTACAGGTGTGCTCTTTTTCAAAATTATTACAAAATTATTACAACCTCACGCTGTTCACCTGTTCATGTGGTATGTATCATATGAAAACGATTGCAAATGTGTTAGTGGTTTATGGAATGGGAAAAAAGGTAAATTGGAACCACTGCTAATTGTGCAAAGCAAAAAAAAAAAAAAACGTGTGATAAAGCAGAACAAAACAAAAGACACAGTAAACATCATGTCTTGAAAAGACACATTAAATACGTTTTTCTGTTTAGTTACTAAAAGTGCTAAAGCTAAAGCTATTATTTTTCAATATAAAAACAAATAAAAATGTAATTGAAAATGAAGAATAATGTAAAAAGAAAAACTAGTTTAAAAACATAAATACTGCAGTAACATTGTCTAGTTGCAAGAAGCAGTTCGTATTGACCTTAAGGTCCCCTCCTATTATCTTCTATGCTGAACCAATATCTAACTGCTCTAATTGAGGCAGAAATGCTTAGGTCTTTCATTATTCTACCAGTATATAATACTGGTGGGACTCACACTATTTCAGGCTCTGTAACTAGACTAGGTCATGTTTTTCTTCTCCCGTGTTCGACTTTTTGGTCCCCATAGGAATACCCTTTCAGAACATCCTTAGCTGATGGGAAGCTTCCTCAAGGTTCTCTGGGCAACAGTCCAGGGCAGGGAAATCTGCCTCACAGTAACCCAGTAAGGAAAACACATCAAGAAGGAGGGCCGTCACCTCTGAGACATCTTGATTGATTGGCATGTCAGAATATTTCATGCATTATAAATGGCATTGATTGCACCTTTAAAATGGTGTTTGGGGAGTAATTCCAGAGGTTATTTCAACAGTCAATCAAAGTTCTTCTGACAGGACCTGCAATCTCAAGCAGATGCCAAGTGTATCATACCCATTTTCTTTCCAGTAACCAAATATCAGTCAAGGGGTTCGCAAGTTCTGAAGAGGAGCTGTAATCAGATTTCTACACATATATTAAAAGCATCTCTCAAATGCAGATTAACTTTAAAGGGTCATGCATCGGTGGGGCATAGCATGCTTTGATTACCCTCCAAGACTGCTTGTTTTTGTTTTTATGTATTTTATATTTCCATGTACATTATCAATTGGTGGATTATTTTTATATTTGGCAGACATTTCTATCCAAAGCATCTCACACTGCCATCAAAGTATAACAGTTTATTCCCTGGGAATTTAAGCCATAACCTTATTGTTGATCATATGCCCTATCATAACAACATCCTCTGATTAAAACATGCCAGTGCTCAGCGTCACATTCAGAAACACATTCACTCACATACATAAAAGCCTGTAATATTAATAATATTATATGCAACATTTGATTTTAATGTGGTAGTAAATGTTGGAATGAACATTAACTAAGATTAACAAATGCTTAATAACATGTATTTTTCATTGTTAGTTCATGTTAACTAAATAGTTAACTAATGTTAACATGTTCACAAATGGAACTCATTGTGTTTTTGGAATATTCCAGGTTCAGTAAAAGCACTAATGGCACCATGTTGATAGAAAAAAAAAACATTTTAACTCATTGTCAATCGATCGATCAATCAATCAATCAATCAATCAATGTTATCCCATGCCGCACTTACAATGCATGAGAATGGGACTAATTTGCTAATTTTAAATGTAAAGCTTAACATTTTATAAATCACTTACATTAATTCTTCTGTTAAAATTGCATTATTTTAGCAGTAAATTTACATTTAAATATAAAATGTTAGTATTAGTTTGTAATAAAAGTTTTTATTACTACTATTGAAGCAGTGAGTATTTTAGCATATAGTGTTTAAACTTAATATACTTAACAGTGTTTTAACTGAACTTTAAAATTGTTCCTTAAAATTTGCTAAATGCTTGTTATATTGCATATATAATGCAATATTACAAATGTTAGTTATGGTGCAGTATATATCCATCATAAATAATCGGTTGTTAGGTATATTTTAGTGGGTCATTTTGTACCAGGGTGACTTTCTTACAGCTACTTGCACAGATACAGGCCATTATGTTTTTGTGTGAAGTTGAACGCGTTTGTGAAGATGGCCAGGGGTGTTTTGACACCTTGCAAAGAACTTGGCAATCTACCAAGCTATTAGGATGCAATTTAGACAATGCAGAATTTAAATTATTTATATTTGTAAAAATGTAAAATAATATATGAAATGTATGAACAAATTGTCATTGTCTAATTTATTGTGATTGTTGTTATTTCTTTATTTTTAATTAATTAATTTATTTGGTAAACCAGGCAATGAACAGGCTAAAGTGCACAATCCATATGTAAAGCAAAAAACAAGTGAGTATTACAGATGGAAATAAGGTTTACCTATAAGTATAAGTTTACCTTTCATTTTCAGCATGACATTTATATAATTCTTGAATAATGTTATAGGATCATTGGGTCGAATACACCCTGTGATCACAGAGACCTAAAAAACAATGCCATGTTGGCACTCTAATGCAGATAACACTTTCAAACAAACCACATAATGCATACATTTTCTGTTGCTAACACTGAAACAGAAGATCCAACATATGCATGATCAGCAAATAATTTACTTCACTAACATTTTACAATAAGGTTGTACTCATTAAGGTTAGCTTACACAAAAGTTAAAAGCATGAAAAAACACTGAACAAAACAGTGCTTTTAGAGCATTTTAATTTCCACATAGACTAATAGATTTTAACTTTACATGTTTTACTTTTTAAATTAAATGTAACATTGTATGTTTATAAATCAACACTAGCATAAAAATAAATAAATGCTGTAAAAAATGATTGTTCACTTTTTGTTCATGATATACTGTATAATGCATTAACTAATGTTAATATTTAGAACCTTATTGTAAAGTGTTTTTTTTTCTTTCTTTCCTTCTTAATATAAAAACTTAGTGCGTATGAACCAATTTACAACCCCTTCTGGACTAAAGTTATTATCTAGTGAGCTGCCTTGTTATCTACTGTCTACATAGCCAGATGCAAGCAAAATTATGCCTGCCTATCATTTGGAACAGCTTTCCTGTCAGGAGCGCCTTTGATATGTTAAAATGTCTTGCTAGGCAGCTCATTAGGTTTTGGAACAGAGTGCACTTTTCTAATGAACTCCATGACATCCTTCACTGCCTTTTGTAAAAAATTAACAAAATGCTATTTTCTTAATTTACAGATTTGACTTGTAAAGCTTTGTAGATATTAAATCACACAGGCTGAACATTCAGGTGGATTTCAACTTAAGATTTATCTTGGCAGACATTCTGAATTATCCCTGCTGGCACTCAACATAAGAAACTGAACAATCACACAGTATTGAATGTGACACACCAAGGATCCGCTCTAACAGCGCAAACACACTATGTGGTGGTCAACATCATCTCATTATCTTTAAACATAAAAGTTTTGAAACATTTTAATTCATTTTTTAAAAGTGTCTCAGGGGTTTCCCTAGAAACGACAACAGTGATTTATCTTAAAGTGACTGATGGAAAAAAATAACAAGCTAACCTGTTTATTTCTTTTAAGTCACAGCATCAGTAACACTGTAGGATTCATAAAGAAAATAATTAACCATTTTCTGTGCTCCCTTAAAAATCTAACCGCTGAGTATCAAAGCAAACTACAGTGCTTTTTACTTTTGCGCAGTTTGTATATGCTTACTGAGACACCTGAAAAATCATTGATGCATGCAAGAATGTGTAGCGCTGTAAAATTTTGATGTTGCCTGCAGGGACAACAACAGTACTTTTTGTAAATGCCCAGTAGGATGAGTGCTTTACGCTCCGTGTGTTTCCTGCCAAATGGGGATCTGACTGAAAAAAGAACCACTGGATGAAAAAAAAAACCAGACAACGCCTCCTTTAAAAGCATGCAGAGCAGACAAACCTCTTAGTCAAGATGAGCTTCAAGCTCGGCCATTTCTGAATCAATTATTCATCTGAATTGGATTAGATGGCCCCTGTGATTTCCCTCCTTCTGTCTCCAGTCATCTATGTCCTTGCGTGTGTCTGTGGATGGTTTTAGCATGATATGTTTCACATTTCCCTGTTGTGAACATTGCAATCCACTGACCACAAAGCATCCTATGTCAGAAGTTCTTCCTGGTTCTTTGGGAGGGTACTGATCAATCCTGAGTGGTACCTTGAAGTAAGTGGTCTGTGATTCAAGGGATACAAAGCCATTATTCTTTGTTTTTCAACAGGTTTAATCAATTTTATACTTTAGAGACAGGTAGCCCATGGTCCAGTGTGCCATTACCTTTTGGCAGCCTGAGAAGCTTCCTCCACATGTCATGAGCACTTGGCCTGGCACTATACCACAGTGCTGATGGTGGAAGACTCCTCAGACTTGCCCTGCCTGCTGGGCAGAGACTTGAGATACTCCAGGTGGCGCCTGGCATCTTCCTGATTGTGTCTCACATAGTAGACCAGGTAGGAGATGACCATGGTGAACCACCCAAACATGGTCACCAACATGGCCACATCCGTGGTCTTTTTGAGCACCACACACAGGTCCAGGTCTTTGGCCAGCAGGAAAGGCACGCCTTGGGCTCCAGAGTCTGAGGGTTCAGATGTCTCACAGATAATGCCAGTCAAAGACACAGGCTCTAGGTCTAGGCGTGGAAGGGCTGTCTGCAGCCTGCAGTCACAGTGCCAGGGGTTTCCAGTGAGGTTGGATCTTGCTGTAACACCTTCAAATGCATCTGGGTCCAGTGTCGTGAGCTGGTTGGACGAGAGGTCCAGAAATTGTAGAGAGACTGCCAAGCCTCTAAAGGCTCCAGGTTCAAGCAAAGCTAGTTCGTTATGGGAAAGATCCAGTTCAGTTAGCAGTGGAAGATCATGAAAGGCGCTGGCAGGGATGCTGGTCAGGAGGTTGTAGTCCAAGTAGAGGCGTCGTGTGTCATTGGGAATGTCCTGAGGGATCTCAGTAAGATGCAGGTTGCTGCAGCGCATAGTCTTACCACCAAATGAGCCCTCGCTGTCTGAACAGTAGCAGCTTTTGGAGCAGGAAGTCGCAGCATGGTGGAAACACAGTGTCATCAGCACTAAGCTGTGAAACAGCAACCACATGACCACAGAGTGCCGAAGAAGCCAACCTGAGGGTAGCAGCATTGTGGGACAGCGGGCATAATCCCTTTAGAGTACAACCTGTTCTGAGAGCATCCAGGGGGCTGTACCCAACATCAAAATGCCCAACAGCTTGCAAGCCTAGAAGATTGAAGAATATAACCAGTTAATGAAATATATATATTTCTTTAATGTTTCAGATTTCAGAATATGTAAAGATCATAATGTGTTTCTTTTTAATGCTGCTGTGCTCCCTGTGTGTGATAATTTTGAAGTATGAGAATTAAAAATGAGTTAAAGAGACCCTATTATGCTATTTTAAAGGTTCCTAATTTTGTTTTGGAGGTCTCCTACAAAAGGTTTATATGCAGCTACGGTCATATTATAGAAATCGTATAAAACGATTTGTGTGTATCTTCAGTCACTCTAAACCCCACCTGTCTGCGAGCCTACGCTTCTCTGATTGGTCAGATGGTGCAGTCTGTTGTGATTGGTTTTACACTTACAGCATGTTTCGGAAACAAAATGCCCATTAGCATTATCTGAATGTCAGCTCTGGAGGATTCATTCCTGTGTAATTCCTCTACATCAGCATTACCAAGTGTATGTCCATGAACAAACTGAAGTGCATATTTCTATGACAATCTGCATTAATTGATACAATTTTAGGTAATAGTGGGCCCACAGCTGATAAGCAGATGAAACAGAAGCAGGTGTTAGTAAAATGATGGGTACACAACAATAGGTTGGAGTTATACTGCTGTGCTATCATTATAAAAATGAACTTTTTACCACTTACTCTTTGCATCCTTATCCTTTGGAAGTGTAAACAAGGAAAATTTGCTTTCGAGCCACAGAAAACAGTGTCTTGAAATATTGACAACACGAACCAAGTAAAGTGTGTGTCAGGGGAGGTCAAAGTACATTGTTTGCAGGCAGCCAATGAAAACCACAGACTGGCATTATGCAAATTTCTAATGGACCTACGTAGATAAGTTACGAAAGTCTAATTGAAATTGCTGATGACTCGTTTCAAGATTTGACTTGTTTTTAGTTATATTTCCTAGTCCTTTTTAATACTATATAATACCATTGTCTTAACAACACGAATACCAATTAATGAAGCCATGCCATTGTTTAACTCCACGTATCTCTTAATAAATCTAATTTTCATTTTCTTGCCATCTCTTGCAGCAATGCCTCACCAATCTCTTGTGATTTAAAAATTTGTACATAGCCATTCTTTGATTGTCCCTAATTAACTAGCAATGAATTACATCCCTTATAGCCTACACTCTAAAAAATGCTGGGTTATTTTTTTTAACCCAAATGCTGGGTTCATCATGCTGGGTTCAGTTGTTGGGTCATTTTATTGGGTTGTTTTTAATATTTTTACCCAGGTGCTGGGTAGTGTTTCTGCACTCTAAAAAATGCTGGGTTTTTTTTGTTTTTTTTACTCAAATGCTGGGTTCAGTTGTTGAGTCATTTTATTGGGTTGTTTTTAATATTTTTTACCCAGGTGCTGGGTAGTTTTTCTGCACTCTAAAAAATGCTGGGTTATTTTTTTTACCCGAATGCTGGGTTCAGTTGTTGGGTCATTCTATTGGGCTCTTTTTTAATATTTTTTACCCAGGTGCTGGGTAATTTTTCTCTAACTAAGCTGCTGCATCATTTTTAATGCTGGGTTATTTTTTTCTACGCAACCACTGGTTTGAGCCTGTCTCCAATGAAACAACCCAGCTGCTGAGTTGCAGTCAGATCGCCGGCTTTTTGTGGCCTCTACAGGAGAGAGCAGTTCTCAGCGCCACCGCCGCCGCCATATTGGTTAACTTCTTCAGCGAAATAAAGGTTTGTATACATTTTATTTCATTTATAAAGTCTTTACTGTGCTGTAAATTATATTATTTTATGCAACGCAACATACAAGGCCGAGATGTCAGTCAGCTGTGTCAGGAGCGGTTGTTTCGCATGATGGTAACACCTTTTGCCTTGCAGAACATAAATTGATTTTATACTGAATTTAATTTAATTTGATGTTTAAATATGTTCTCTAATCTCAGTACTGTTTGTTTATGGGCAGGTTATGGAGTCAGTCATGGCATCTTTCAGCTACGAGTGAAACGCGAGGCGGCGGTCTGAGGTTCGCAGTTCCCCTGGCAAACAGCAGCCCATCACCGGCTCAGATTTTCTGCGACAGACAAACCTCTGGCAACCCAAACATTATTTGGGTTGCCAAACAACCCAAGTTGGGTTGTTTTTAACCCACCATTTTTTAGAGTGTATCTTCCGTTGTCTATATGTAGTATACACAGACAAACGTACAAAGAACCATACATATGCAAGTATCACAAACACATACAGCACAGACATTAAAATTAAAAAGCTGACTGCTGCCTTAACCTTTCAATTGTAATTTACTAATGGAAAATGATACGCTTGATGCTTAAAGCAGTGGGGCTTTAGCTATTATTATTTTCCTGCTGGCTTCATACCCTTTTTGCCAGACACACTAAGCAAAGCTTTCACAAAAAGAAAAAAAAAAAAAAAAAACCCTTCAAAGAATATCCATTCACGTTGATAACGTAAAAGTGGCACTTTCTCAAAAGTGTTGGTTGATTGAAATCCCTGCTATGATGGCCTAATTCACAACTCAGCCACAGGTATTAATGAAATCCAGGACTGACAAAAAATGACTTGATCGTGACGTGATCAAGATCTGAAAAAGATGTTTCTTCAAGAACATTTTTTAAATAGGCAGAATGTATTGCTGAACTTCCACGTGCTCACATAAAACATAAGAAGTGACCTTTAAATACCTCTTATGAACTGTTGTCTTACATATGAACTATGTTATTTATTATATTCAAATTACCTTGACAGAGAGGCCCAGGTAAAGAATGCAATTCGGTGCCTTCCTCCGGAATTGTGACAAGACAACTTATAAGAGTCTAATGTACATGATACAGTGCATGTTGTCATAAAAGCATTGAGCTATGAGAGTGGACTGCCATGGTTTCGCAATAGGTACTATTCTTTTCTCTCTTTTTTTTTTTTTTTTAATCTGAAGTTCTCCTGGGGTTCACTGGAGAAATATTCATGCAATTTCTTATTAAAAACATAATAAAATCAAGTAGAAATTTAAAAGAATTGTCTTAAATCAACTCCATCCCTTCAATCACTCAACTTCTATCAAAAGACCCACCCTCCAAAGACATATCAGCAAACCCAATATCAGCAAACCCAAATGTGCTAGGTGACAGCTGGAAAGATGCTTAAAAAAATGTCATATTCGTTTGGGACAGATTCAATGGTTGTTGTTTTTTTCAGATTGACATTTGACTTGCAAAGTGCAACATATGCTCTTTTATACTGGTGTTTGATAAACTGCCCAAATAAGTCTTCATTTGAATGCTTATATTTAACTTAATTAGCCTTACCACAAACAACTGTCATTCTAAATATTGCAGATGGAAAAGACAGCAGCCCAAATGATGTACAGTACAAGAGAGGGCAGGTAAGGAACACTGCCTGCTATTCGAACTGTGGTTGCCATTTTGGATATTTAATCCCACCAATGTTGTGGTCAGTAATCCATAATAATAGTTTCACTTAAGACGCAGCTTGTTCTGTCTGAAGAACAAGTATGAACAACAACTTGTTTTGTAATTTACCATTTTTTATTTATTTTGTCCAACCTTCTAAAAATAGCTTCCCACCTTGGCTCATTAATATATCAGCAGCATATAAGAAGCGGCTATCCTCTTACAAATCTTCTGGGTAACATGCTCTAGAAGGCAGCTGCCTTGGTTGGCTCCAATAATTTCCAGCCTTAACCATTGTAAGAAAAACTACAAAACTGATTTCAACTCTGCACAAGCCTGCAGTTTCAACCAATATAGAAATCACTGGTTCTCTATTTATGTATCGCATCACCTCTTATTACCTATAATTTTGAATTTTCAAATACCAAAAGTCACTGGGTTTGTAGTTGACAAATGGCAGCGGACCCGCCACTGTCCACTTACGCAGATTAAAAATGAAATCGATCTCTAAGTACCTCTTAGTATCACATAACGAGTGGGAGTCTCCTAAAGGAGGGACTGTTTGTTGAAGGGAGGGGGGAATAAGACGTTCTAGACTACAAAAAGAGCTGAAATGCCAGGCAAATAGATCCCAAACTGAAGGCTGAAGAAGGGAGAGAGAAAGAGAGAGAGGGAGAAAGGAAGACATTAGCTCAGCTTTCATGCTTCAGTGACCAAAGTCTTTCCCTGCCAAAAAAAACCCAAACCAAGACAGTTATTTACCCAGGTTTAAAAGAAAAGCGATTTTGCTGTACCATAGACTTTCTCTATTAAAGTGTGGAAGGGTGATCTAAGGATGAGCAAAGTGGTGGAAGATAAGTTAGATAAGAGTCACAAACCCCCTGGAAAAGCTGTACCGCTCATGAATACACAACAGGATTCTGTCATGACATTTTCGCAAGTGATAGTGTGGGCCGGACACATAAGGAGAGACAGACAGACAGTGAAAGATGAGGACAACAAAAACCTAAAACAAAGATCTGCAGAGAAATACAGCTGAGAGGGAAAGGAAAAATCAATGATAGCTCAATGGCAGCTCAATGGACAGAGATGGACAAAATAAAGGTTGAAACAAGACATGAGAGGGAAGCATGTAGGGGGTGAGGAGAAACCACACAGGATGTTTACATGATTCAACAGAGAGAACAAGAGAGGAAACAAGAGAATCTGAGGAGCAAGTCTTACATTACAGAATAGAAGAAAGAAGAGAAGGATAAAAAATGAGGTTAAAAGGTTCAGGACAGAACATTTTGGGGGAGAATACCAATGTGACCCTGCCTCTGCAATGAAAGGCCAATGAACCCAATTAGACTGGAAAAGGAAAATAAAACAATGAGTTAGTGATGTAAATGCTGTTATTCATTAACATATTGGATGAGAGTCACAAATTACAGAGACATACATGATATGATTTATGATATGACAATTTATACTTCAGCTTGATTGAAGAGTCATCAAGACTTGTGTTTTGGATTCTTGCTGGCAGCATGGGATGCTTGTGTGCTAGTTTACCCAGCACACTTCTTAACTAGTTAATGTACCATTATTCCTGTTGACCATCAAACCACTAAACCAGCACTAATCACCACAAATCACAACTCAAATCAGTATGGAAATGCATGTGATTTGTAATCAGCCATTGACACATACACATTTTTGTCTTCAGCAACTCCTGACTTTTACTGCTATGACTTTTCAGTGAAGTACCATAAGATTTGTGTCCAGACTCTCAAACAAGTATACAAATTACAGTGAAGAGAATGAAAAACACTTTAGAGTGGGGATGGGAAAGGAGGAAAGAAGCTTTGTCAGAGCTGAATTGGACTGTATTGAATGACGTGTCATTTGATAGAACTTGACTGAGATGATAATTGGCCTGATATTGCCACTTTGTCATGTTATAAACTGTTATTCTTGTTGCTCATGCTAAATGTAAGCATTACAGGATGAGACAGACTGGTAGATGACTGACTCTGGAAAGCTCTAACATTAAGAGCTGCAGTTAGATGAAAGTTAACGGATAAGTTTTATTGACATCTTTGGCTATACTGGGCTAATGGATTGTTCAAAAGAACCATGTTTCACTATTTAAAATGCTGTTGACTCTCTGAGTAGCCTACTTTAAATTCACTATTTAGTAGGAAACTGTAAAACCTTTTTTTTTTTCAATTGTAACATTTCACAAAAGTGGTAATATTCAAATGTCTAACTTTATTCAACAGAACTTAATGACATGTGTTACGTTAGAATGTAAAGTCATTTCCAGGGTCACATCAAGTTGAAATAGCTCTTTAGGGTAAGTGCACATTTTCAGTTTTACAGTGTTCAGTACACAGTAGTGTAAATGTAAAATATGTGTGGGTGTTGAGAGAACAGAGAATGGTGGTTAATAAAACAACTAGGTTATAATAGCTGTTTGATGTACACAACGTATATTTGAGGCAGCTCATCATTTGGTTTAGTCTGTGTCTTTTGAAACCATCACAAGCTTTAATCTTGAGAAACAGTTCTTAGTCTACAAACTGTTGTGCTTCCTCATCTCTAGTCTTGTTTAATAATTCATTTCAAACAATGTCTGAGTGCTCCTGACTGCTGGCAGTGTGTGATAGTTTACACGGAGACCCTGCTGTCAACCTGTACTGTTCAATTATCTGAGTTTAAAAAAAAAATCAATAATCTACAGAAACCTATCAATGACCAATAATCATAAATCACACAACATCATGCACATACTCTTTCATATTACCTTAAAGGTTTAAACGTGAACAGACAAATAAAGTGATGTATTAATAAAGAGCAGAATTAATGACCTTGTTGTCTCCACATATATCACTGAACTGTTTGACACATAGATATGTATAATTAAATACAGTAGTTATTGTCCACACTAATTAACAACTCCGCTGTAAGATTTTTTTTTTATTGCCATATGTTGCAGCATCTAAATGACCTCATAATACATTTTATTCATTCAAAAAGCATATAAACCAACCTGAACTCATTAATTAATTTTCAAACTGAACATTTCCACATTTTGTAGTGTATTAAATAAGAAAAAAAAACATATTTCAATTCAACCTAAATGTATATAACATTTTAATATGTAAACAAATATTTAATTAAAGTGATAATATTTAATATTTAGTGATAAGTAAAACAGATTGTGTTTTGCAAGTGTCTTTTAATTAGTTATGCATAGTTTTTCTTCATACACTAGAGGCGTGACTCCTGAAAGAAAGTAACATTACAAATAAAAGCAAGAGTTTACACTGTAATTACAAACCTTCGTCAAATACCTATAGACTGAAAAATCTTACTCTAAATGCTTACTGTAGAGCTGTTCAGTGTTGTGGGTAATATATTACAAGTAACCTAAAAACAAACAAGCAAGCCCCGTCCAGATTTTAAAAGTAACGCAAAAGTAACGCACCGCATTACTTTCCATACAAAGTAACTAAGTCACGTAATTAGTTACTTTTTTATGGAGTAACGCAATATTGTAATGCATTACTTTTAAAAGTAACTTTCCCCAACACTGGAGCTGTTAATGCATTTCCTTATTTAAACGCGTTGGAATGTAGCCTACCGTGCGTTCAGTGCACTTCTCATTCAAATACAAGACTGACTCACATTTCTCCTCTCTGTCTTCTCGAGAGAAGAGATCTCCTCTGCTCCTCTGCTCTTCTCGG